CTCTTGTTTTTATAGGCAGCCCTGCAAGTTGGGGGCCATGGAGAGAGGCTACACCAGTGTCGAGAAGTCATGCTTCTAACTTACAAATCCATCCCCATGCAAGTGGATGGGGAGCCCTGTAGGTTGGCCCCAGCTATGATTCGGATCTCCCTGAGGAATCAGGCCAACATGGTACAGAAGAGCAAGAGGAGAACATCCATGCCTTTACTTAATGAGTGAGTCTGCTCATGGCCTACCTTGCTTAACACGAAGACCTTGGAGAGGAGAGTGCAGAGCATGTGCATGGTCTGGGAACCTCACTGTGTTGGGAAGAGGAAAAAAGTCCGGGAGACTCAGCAGTTCCTTGGTTTCTCTCATGGGAACATATAGAGTTTTTTCCCCTTGTTTATTGTACAGTTCCACACCCTTCTTTTAGTAGTTATCACTGTACATGAGACAGATGATGATTCTTCACTGACCACTTGAGAATATATTTACTGGGACTCTCAGAAAATCATTGAGAGGGATTCTAGGGTGGTAAACTGTGTTCAGGTAAATGTGTTTTTGTTTGTTTTGTTTCAGGGAAGCACATAGTTAGCCTGCTCTTTACTTAGGTCGCTTGGAGAGCGTTGGTTTCTCCAGTCGCGGCTGGTTGGCAGAGCTGGTCAGTGGCTGGCCTCTATCCACATTGCATCTCTTTCTGCCTGCCAGCGAATTGTTCCCTTCCTGATGTTCCTATTTTGGGGTCCTGCATACTCTGGTGCTTCAACTCAGCATTGGCTATCTGGGCAGCATCCTATTGTCCAGACATAGCCTGACCCACTCTTTCACACGTGGTATCCCTCCTGGAGTTTTCCTTTCTTAGGCATTTTAATAAACTGACTTGAGGTAAGGTAATAATGACTAGATATTTAGAATGCATATTCATTTTATAGTGTGTCTCACTCCAACTAGTGATTAAGTGTCTGTGGGGTTGGAGAAGGGGATGGATAATGAACGGAAGTTTTGGCATCTTTTGAATATTTCCTATATATCATGCTGTATGCCTAAGGCCATTTCAGGGCTTAGCCTTGTGTCATTCTCTGTCACAGTGAGGGACTCTCAAAGGTGCTTCTCCCATTTGTGGCCTGTCATGCATGGTTATCTATTTGCACTGAGTGGCTGGCTTCCTTGTGGTGCCTGTAAAGCAAGGGCATGCTTTGCCATGCATTTATGCAGAAGTCCCTAGAATAGCCAGCAACACAGGTGCCCTCACTCACTACCAGCACTTACTGTTCTCTCTCTGTGGTGGCACATGTTGATGAGCAGGATTAGATAGTGCTCTCAGAGTATTCCAGCTTTTGGCATCTGGGTCTCACTTTGAAGCTGGGATAAAAAATCTACTCTGTCCTCTCCTTCCTTCTCTCCCAGAATCCAGACTTCCCCCAGAATTTTTCCTAGATTATTTTCCAGAGGTGTTTTTTAGTTACATGTCTTTCTTTGTTTACATTTTGCATTTAGTGAAACTCCTGACTCGTTCCTCGTGCTGCCTGCCCTCCCTGCCTTTACCTTCTGTTAGGTTAAATACACAATTGCTGAGGTTATATTTTAGAAAACGTGGAATGTCAGTAGTTGTATATGGTTCATCAGATTTACCCTAGAAATGTTAGAGTTACGTGGACCATGGGTTTGCCAGAAATCTATGAAATACTAAGTGAAAAAAAATCTCTGAAACTGTACTATAGTCTATGTTGTTGGGTCACTTTTAGATAGTTTGTTAAGAAGATATGCAGAAGCTAAAAGTTTTTACTATGTATAGTCAGAGAGCTCACAGTCTTAGGCCTGCTTCTTCTATATTTAATAACCTTATCAGACATGAAATGGTTTTCAGCTGGTTTAGTTTTAAACAGCTTTCACCTTTGTGTTGAGAATTCGTATTTGCTCAACAACCATATTGTTAAGAATTCATTTGGCTTTCTGCACCTATAGAAGCACATAAAAAGAATTGTTTTCTTTTTGTACTCATGGCACACGTGATATATGATGGCACTTCTTGTAGCTCTTAGCTATGCAAGTGTTCAAGAAGCAGCCTCAACTTAAAAATACTGTTACTGGCTGGGTACGTTGACTCACACCTGTAATCCCAGCACTTTGGGAGGTCAGGTGGCCGGATCACTTGAGACCAGGAGTTCAAGACCAGCCTGGTCAACATGGCAAAACCCCTTCTCTGCTATAAATACAAAAATTAAACAGGTGTGGTGGCACATGCCGGTAATCCCAGCTACTCAGGAGGCAGAGACACCAGAATCTCTAGGACCACAAGGCAGAGGGTGCATGGAGCTGAGATTGCACCACTGCACTCCAGTCTGGGCAACTGAGCGAGACTATGTCTGGAAAAACAAAACAAAACAAAACAAAACAAAACAAAACAAAAACCCCAAACAACAACAACAATAACAAACCCCAGAACTGTTATTTACTTTCTACTAGAGGCAGTGGTGCCTGCATCCAGGCCAGCCCATGCCCTCTGAAAGACTTACGAGAAATGGGAATAATAGTATAATTTTCATTTTATTAATGAATATTTATAAGACTTAAAAATAACAAAAATCTTTATTACTACTTGTGAAAAATTATTCAACACTGTATTTTCAGAAAATCAATACAGATAGCACATTTTCAAAAGAAAGCAAAAAACCCTAGTCACCTTGTAATATTTGCTTACTAAACCTTAATTTCTCTCATTCTAATCTTATTTACCTTCTATGATTAAATATTTCTTTCGATTTTACCAGAAAACCTTATTTTGAAATCTAAGGTCTTCCACTGGATTTCCAAGTGGAGTTTCAAGCTCAAGGTCAGCCTTTCCTTTAAGACTTTTCTATAAGTTTTCTTCCACCTTCTGAGTCCTTCAAGCCTTTCTCTGCTTTGGCCATCAATTGTGTGAAGTGTACCATTTCGAAGAAAGAGAAATTCGAAAGACATTTTCTTTATTTCCTGCCTTCCTTTCTTCGCCTGTCTTTTTTCTTTACTCAAGGAGAACTAGTCGAAAATATCTTTAGAATTTTTAGCTTAAAAACTTCTCTGTGTGTGTGTGTGTATGTTTGCGTGTGTGTATGTGTGTGTTTGTGTGAATGTGTGTGTGTTTGCGTGTGTGTATGTGTGTTTGCGTGAATGTGTGTGTGTTTGCGTGTGTGTATGTGTGTGTTTGCATGTGTGTGTTTGTGTGTGTATGTTTGCATGTGTGTGTGTTTGCGTGTGTGTGTGTGTGTGTATGTGTGTGTTTGCGTGTATGTGTGTGTGTGTTTGCATGTGTGTATGTGTATGTGTGTTCCCAATAAGAAGAAGGTGGCTGTTTAATTCATCTTTAAAAATTAGGCTCCTTTCACACAGCATGGTAATTGGATATTCGAGACGTAAGTGCTGTGGCTCCCTTAACAGCAGTTCCCTTTCCACTTAATGCCAGTTCTCCTTGTGGTTCTGCCCTTTCTCTGGGAGACTGTATCTCTGATCTGTGTCTTCAGCCCAGAATTTTCTTCTAAAAATTGAAGACTGATACCCAAATATCTCAGTTGACATTTTTACCTTAATGTCTCATAGTAACCTCAAACTACATGCTAGAAACTGGACTCATTAACTTTATTTCCTTGGCTTTTCTTCCCCACCATCCAGTGAGCCTATTCCATTCACAGTTGTACACAGGAAACTACCATCCACTCATTTGTCCTGTTCCTGGACTCTGAGGTTCTCTCAGTCACTTCTACTTCTATACACCTGCTAGTCCATTTCTGCATTGCTGTAAAGAAATACCCGGGACTGGATAATTTATTTATATTTATTTGTTTATTTATTGAGACAGAGTCTGACTCTCTTGCCCAGGCTGGAGTGCCATGGTGCCCTCTCGACTTACTGCAACCTCTGCGTCCCAGGTTCAAGTGATTCTCCTGCCTCAGCTTCACAAGGAGCTGGGACTACAGGTGTGCGCCACCATGCCCAGATGTATTTTTGATAGAGACAGGGTTTCTCCACGTTGCTCAGGCTGGTCTTGAAGTCCTGGGCTCAAGTAATCTGCCCGCCTCAGCCTCCCAAAGTGCTGGGATTACAGGCGTGAGTCACCATGCCCAGGCAAGGCTGGGTAATTTGTAAAGAAAAGAGTTTTATTTGGCTCACAGTTCTGTAGACTGTACAAGTATGGGACCAGCATCTGCTTGGCTTCTGGTGAGGCTTCAGGAAGTTTACAGTCAGGGCTAAAGGTGAATGGGGAGCTGGCATATCACATGGTGAGAGAGAGAGCAAGAGGGGGGAGGCACCATACTCATTTAAACAACTGATTGTCACATGAACTCAGAGTGAGAGCTCACTCACTACCCCAAGGAAGGCACCAAGTGTTTATGAGAGATCTGCCCCCATGACGCAAACACCTCTGACCAGGCCCCACATACAACATCGGGGATTCCATTTCAACATGAGATTTGGATGGGACACATGTCCAAACCATATCAACATCCATCAGGGTAGCTACCACATTCTTTGAACTCTATCTTCTATTTATTTCCCAAGTCTTTCACTCTCATCCCCTCTATCCTCTCTACTGCTAAAGCAGCCAGAGTTCAAAGGTCATGCGAGCTACCTCTCAGCAGCATTACTAAAGTATGCTTCTGACTGTTTTCTTGTTCCCACCCTTGCTGCCTTCACATAGTCTGTCTCTTCTGATATACCAGTTAGATTGATCTAAGAATCCCAAGCCTGTGTTCCTTAGCTTTGCAGACCTTTTCAATCACTCCCTTCCTCATTCTCTTTGCTCTTTGTTCCAGGGAAGATTGCTGTTCCTGGAACAGTAGCCTGTCTCCTACATCATCCTGGTTTTGCTTTCAAGTCCTCTTCTTGCAGTGCCCTCTGCACCTCTTTATCTTCTGCTAACTCCTCGCTCACAGCTTAGGACCCCATTGAATCACTACTTTTCCTAATAAGCCTTTTCTGTCTACTTCTAGCTGTTAGATGTACCTTTACGTGCTTCAGTGGTGCTCTTGGTTATTTTCATGACACTACTTACTAAAAACAGTTTAATCATGGATTTACTCCTCCCTTCTCTGCTCTGTGGGGAGGCCCTAGGATTTTCCTTTTAGGATCCCCAGTGTTGGTCATAGGTCCTGAGACACAGTCACATCTTGCATCAGTGACTCACGCATGAATCCATTCTATGAGGCTGTCTCTGCTGTGTTTCTCAGAAATTGCTTTCTAAGATAAGTCTAAAATT